AGTGCCTGATGGGGGAGCCGCGTCTGCCTGATCCAGCCAGCCCGGATCGCCATTATTCGATCCGGGCTGGCTGGATCAGGCAGAAGCGCCCTCTGATCAGGCACTGTAGAGGGCCGCCCCCTGTGGCCTCGGAGTGTGGCAGAGAAAGACAGCCACTGCATCTGCGGCCAGGGGCTACGTTTAGCGGGGGTCGGTGACGGCGCCCCCCCTCAGTCCTGCGCCCCCCCCGGTTGTTACGCCACTGGCTCCCACTATAAGAAATATGATGATGGCCAGTTTGTTAACTTCCAAGAACAACAACATGGTTACCACCACTGGCTTATTTAAAGGAGAACTATGAGGAGAGTGATTTCCACTCACTTCATAGTTCTAGCCGACCTGTGACAAATAAGCTGTCACAGGTCGGCTCTATTGATTGGGAACTGAGCAGAAACATGCCACCAATCTGCTCACTTCCCGATCGTCTCCCTGCAGTGAGCTGTGACTGTAAGTCACCGCTCCCCTCAGGGATTCCCACCTCCCCTCTCCGATCCTCCAGTGCTAACTGGAGGAACTAACAGAAGAGGGGGTGGGTACAGCTGGATCTGCCTCCAGACAGGTAGAGCCAGCTGTCACTCACGCAGCTGGGTGGATCTCGACAGTATTGTCAGGATCCGTCCCGGCTGCGGCGCTCTCAGTATATCGCGGGCAATAGCTCGCGATATACTGAGCTTCAGGTCACTGGAGGAGGTTAGTATATGTCCTCCAGTGACACTAAAGAGAACTATGAGGAAAACCACTTACCTCATAGTTTTCATATAAATGTGGTGTGTCACCGTGTTCCAGTTGCATGTATTTGGGGAATTCCCATGTGGCTACTTTGTATTCTAGTGGGAATTCCTTTAATATAAGACAGCTGGGAAAATGTCAGACGAGGTTTGTGATGTACGTTATGCAATATGTTGGTAGGACCGCTCGAAGACTGAGACAGAACGAGAGACCATTTGTCTGATATTCATTTTATAGTTTATTACCCCCTAGGCGGGCCGTGTATAAGACAATATGTACAAAAGTATAAAGAAAGACAATGACAGACAAAGAACTCTGACTACTGGCTGTGTGATTGTCAGGGACCAGAGCACCTTCAGGTGGCGCTGGAACCAGGTCCTGCAGTTCCTGTGCTCACCTGCAGGTGTCTCCATGCAGGCAGGAGCTGTCAGGTACCAGACCACCTGTCGGGTCCCGGTCCGTAGGCCATGTCAGGTCCCGGTCCGTGGGGCATGTCAGGTTCCGATCCGGGCTCAAGTGCGGGCACACAAACGAAGGGGACATCCGCCGGCGCTTCCAGGCCGCGCAGGCGCAGACGTTAGACGACCCGGCGGGGTCACGTGGCGTGACGTCACTACGCGGATATGTCCCGGTGACGTCATCACGCCGGCGCATGCGCAATAGGCCATCCTAGGGCTATATAAGGCGCATCTGATCACTCATTCAGTGCTGAGTGATCTTCAGCCTGTGTGGATGTCTGTATCTTGCTCCTGTCTCCTGGAAACCCTGTGATCTGGCTGGTTTTTGACGATTCTTTGGATTATCCTCTATACTGTCTCTGCCCGCCTGTTGCCAACCCGGCTTGTTCCTGACGATTCTCTGGATTCCCCCTGGTTCTGCCTGTGCCCACCTGTGCTGGATCCAGTCTGCCTCCTAAACTTCCCAGTTGCTAATTTAACGGCCAACTGCTCCATCAGGTCTCCACCCATCAGAGCAACCCGGAGTCAGCACCCGGCACCCGTGCACCCCCTGCCTGCGCACACTATTCATCAACCCCAGAGGTCACAGACGGGGTTGCAAGGGAGGTCCTCCTCGTCAACTCGGTCCCACACCACAACCCTAATACCACCACTGGGTGGTGCTGGAACCTGCAATTCCGGTGCTCACCTGCGGGTGTCTCCCAGCTGTCGGCAATCAGTCTCCACCTGGTACTGGCCTAGGAGGGTATTTAGCCCCTTATCACAGTGAGGCCGGTGCCTCAGTATTGTCGCCATAACCTGTTGCCTGTATCTTGTTACCTCCTTGGACCCTGACTCCTGACTCCTTCCCCTGGGTTCTCCTGCTCTGTGGCCCCCCTCTTGTTGCCCTGCTCCCCAGGTTTACTTGCCCTGTTATACCCTGTGTGTGATTCTGCTTTTTGCATTTAGTTTGGCTGTTTTATGTGACTTGTGGGTGTTGGTGGTGTTGCTTGCGTTTCGGTATGTCTAATAAACTATAGCTTCATAGCCTTGTTTGGTGTGGTCGAGTATTTGGTCCTCCTGTAAAGATACCTGCATGCGGTGTGGGGCCCCTGTGCACAGTATCGTGGTAGTGATAAAACGGGAGATAAAACGGGAGAAAAAACGTTCCCATCGGGCGTATTGCTCTTACGGGAGGTCATGGGTTATTTGGGCCCGCCAGTTCGGATGCCGGGATCGGGGGTAGGATTTCTGATACCAGCAGTCCACTCCTCTGTCAGGAGCACAGCAGAGCTCCGGTGATCTGCAGATTTTCGGACTGCAAAAGCCAATAGGACAGAGGAAGGGGGCAGGAGGGAGAGCACTGCGGGTCTGCTCAGTGTACAGCCCAGAAGATCTGCAGATGACCCCTTTGATCTGCTGGCTCTGTGTCAGAGCCAGCCCCCTTCTCTACACCCAGGTATGGAGATTATTGTCAGGAATCCTCCCACGTATTATCTGTGTCCTCTGTATAAGGATTCCTATAAATACGAGTCTCAGCCTCGCCCTGTGTAGGAGTGTACAGAACCCGTCACACTGGTTAAGGAGTGTCAGAGACTTTCACTTTCATTTCTCTTCTGCTGTCAGCGATGGCGTCTGCTGATCTGAGAGCTGAGCTGGAATGTTCCGTCTGTCTGAACATTTATACAGATCCTGTGAACCTGAAATGTGGACATAACTTCTGCCGGGAATGTATTGGTCGTGTGCTGGATACACAGCGGTGGTCTGGAGGTTATTCCTGTCCTGGATGCAGAGAGAAGTTCCAGAAGCGGCCTGCACTGCATAGGAACATAACACTGCGTAACATAGTGGAGAATTTCCTGTCTGCTCAGCCAGATAAGGAGGAGTCCGGGGTCCTCTGTACTTATTGTATTCACGCTCCTGTACCTGCTGTGAAGTCCTGTCTGCATTGTGAAGCTTCTCTGTGTGACAACCACCTGAGAGTCCACAGCAAGTCACCAGAACACGTCTTATGTGACCCCACCACTTCCCTGGAGAACAGGAAATGCTCCGTCCATAAGGAACTACTGAAGTATTACTGCAGTCTGGACTCGGCCTGTATCTGTGTTTCCTGCAGGCTGGATGGAGAACATCGGGGACATCAGGTGGAGACTCTGTATGAGGCCTCTGAGAAGAAGAAGATGAAACTGGGGAATGTTCTCCAGAAACTGATGACAGAGAGAGAGGAGACGGAGAAAAGAGTCCAGAGTCTGGAGGAACACAGGAGGAAAGTACAAGGAGAAGCAGCCGGTGACACAGAGAAAGTCTCTGCCCTGTTCAGAATGTTCAGGAGACGTCTGGAGGACCTGAAGACGAGAGTCCTGAGTGAGATCTCCGGGAGGGAAGAGCGGATCTCCATCTCTGTGGTGGAGATGATCCGGGAGCTGGAAATAAAGAAGGACGAGCTGTCCAGGAAGATGCGAGACATTGAGGAGCTGTGTAACATGACGGATCCACTGACTGTCTTACAGGAATCAGACACAGGTGACTTGTGTGATACTGAGGATGGAGATGATGAGGACAGAGAGAGACATGATAGACTCCTCCATGATGGAGGGGGTCTGGATGTGGCTGGAATCTCACACAAATTACACACATTATCAGATATAATGTCTGGGATAAATGTATTCTTCTATATACAGGAAGCTGAAGACATATTACTGGATGTGAGCACAGCTGAGAATCATTTACAGATATCAGATGACATTAAAGCTGCATCCAGGTCAGATAAGAGTCAGAATCGTCCAGAAACTCCAGAGAGATTTCAGTATTCTCAGGTGTTGAGCAGTCGGAGTTTCTCCTCAGGGCGACATTACTGGGAAGTGGATGTCGGGGGGTCAAATGAATGGAGAGTCGGGATGTGTTACCCCAGTATAGAGAGGAAAGGAGATCAGTCACTGATTGGAGATAATAACAAGTCCTGGGGTATGAGGAGGTGTTATAATAAGTACTCAGTGACACATGACAGTTAGGAACATAACACTGCGTAACATAGTGGAGAATTTCCTGTCTGCTCAGCCAGATAAGGAGGAGTCCGGGGTCCTCTGTACTTATTGTATTCACGCTCCGGTACCTGCTGTGAAGTCCTGTCTGCATTGTGAAGCTTCTCTGTGTGACAACCACCTGAGAGTCCACAGCAAGTCACCAGAACACGTCTTATGTGACCCCACCACTTCCCTGGAGAACAGGAAATGCTCCGTCCATAAGGAACTACTGAAGTATTACTGCAGTCTGGACTCGGCCTGTATCTGTGTTTCCTGCAGGCTGGATGGAGAACATCGGGGACATCAGGTGGAGACTCTGTATGAGGCCTCTGAGAAGAAGAAGATGAAACTGGGGAATGTTCTCCAGAAACTGATGACAGAGAGAGAGGAGACGGAGAAAAGAGTCCAGAGTCTGGAGGAACACAGGAGGAAAGTACAAGGAGAAGCAGCCGGTGACACAGAGAAAGTCTCTGCCCTGTTCAGAATGTTCAGGAGACGTCTGGAGGACCTGAAGACGAGAGTCCTGAGTGAGATCTCCGGGAGGGAAGAGCGGATCTCCATCTCTGTGGTGGAGATGATCCGGGAGCTGGAAATAAAGAAGGACGAGCTGTCCAGGAAGATGCGAGACATTGAGGAGCTGTGTAACATGACGGATCCACTGACTGTCTTACAGGAATCAGACACAGGTGACTTGTGTGATACTGAGGATGGAGATGATGAGGACAGAGAGAGACATGATAGACTCCTCCATGATGGAGGGGGTCTGGATGTGGCTGGAATCTCACACAAATTACACACATTATCAGATATAATGTCTGGGATAAATGTATTCTTCTATATACAGGAAGCTGAAGACATATTACTGGATGTGAGCACAGCTGAGAATCATTTACAGATATCAGATGACATTAAAGCTGCATCCAGGTCAGATAAGAGTCAGAATCGTCCAGAAACTCCAGAGAGATTTCAGTATTCTCAGGTGTTGAGCAGTCGGAGTTTCTCCTCAGGGCGACATTACTGGGAAGTGGATGTCGGGGGGTCAAATGAATGGAGAGTCGGGATGTGTTACCCCAGTATAGAGAGGAAAGGAGATCAGTCACTGATTGGAGATAATAACAAGTCCTGGGGTATGAGGAGGTGTTATAATAAGTACTCAGTGACACATGACAGTAATAAGATCCCATTACCCGGCATTGTCTCCAGTAACAGAGTCAGGATAGATCTGGATTATGAGGCCGGGCGGATCTCCTTTTATGATCTGTGTGACCCGATCCGACACCTCCACACCTTCACCACCACCTTCACTGAGCCCCTCCATGCCGGGTTATGTGTATGGAGAGGTTCTATAAAGATATCTGGAGGGAATCAGAGGTGAGAGATCTGCAAGGAGACTGGTGACATCACAGGGCGGAGAATCTGATTGGCGGAAGACTCAGCCAATAGGAGGAAGCAGTGGGCAGGAAATGCCATTACTGATTTATATGGCTCTGCAGGTTTCGGGGATGTCATCTTCACCCTCAACTTCACTTCACTTCCTCGTGTGTCACTGACCAGGAACAAACGTGCAGGAGATCAGTTGATTCAGACTTCACTGGCTGCATGCTTGTTCCCGGGGTCAGTGACACACTAAGTAGGGTAGTCAGGATCGGGATGACAGTCCTGGAGCCTTCACCTTTTAAAGCGTATCTATATTTTTCAGTTCTGGATGGAATGGGGGAGAGGATTGATCCCCTGTCAGGTTTTCACTGCTATCCGGGTTATCATTAGAACTGTGTCTTCTTATGTCATTAGTAGTAGCCGCCCGTGTGACCGTTCTATGACCCATGGCGCCATTTATTACTTTATATACACGCGCATGATTTCTATTGGTTTATGCTCCGCCCTCCATCTCTAAGAATTGTATCTATATTCCTTGTTTTACAATAAACCTGTGAATGTAGAGTGAATGTGGAGTGAATGTGGAGTGAATACACAACTTGGTGTGACTCTTTATTCCCAAGTCCTTGTCTGAAGCTGGCAGCACAATGGAATCCCGGGGAACTCTAAAATCGGAACCCTGACATGTACAACCATTGACGAGTCCAAGACAAGAGAAGTCTGGCCGTACACCAGGAGACGGTGAGGAAAGCTAAAACTTTACTGAGACTCGTCCATGCCACAAATGTCCCGCTAAACGCGTTTCACCCAATAATGGGCTTAGTCCTAGAGATAGGGGTGATTTATGAGGAGGGCAATATATGTTGTGGTGCCCGGGTGACATCAGCTGACTCTCTACTCATTTAAGGAAACATACACAATAGGGATCTACATATTACATAATACAGAGAGGCAACCTCATGCATCACACCCGCAATGTCATTCAAACAACATACCAGCATATTATACATATAGAACTTCATCTTCTCCATATACATAGATACAATCCCACTCGCAGTTCAATCCTTTTGGAATGGGGGTGTCCAACTTAAATTTCCCAAATACCTTTCTTCTGTTCAGAATGTAGAACCCCTCCCCCCTCTCACAGGGTGATGAACTCTCTCTATCATTTGCACCCTCAGAGTGTGGCAGAGTTGTGTTCCATGTTTGGCTACATTTGTATTCTTGTGGCTCCTAATATTAGACAAATGGTCTCTCGTTCTGTCTCAGTCTTCGAGCGGTCCTACCAACATATTGCATAACGTACATCACAAACCTCGTCTGACATTTTCCCAGCTGTCTTATATTAAAGGAATTCCCACTAGAATACAAAGTAGCCACATGGGAATTCCCCAAATACATGCAACTGGAACACGGTGACGCACCACATTTATATGAGAACTATGAGGTAAGTGGTTTTCCTCATAGTTCTCTTTAGGGTCACGGGAGGACTAACCTTCTCTTGTGACCCAAAGCTCAGTATATAGCGAGCTATTGCCTGCAATATACTGAGAGCGCCGCAGCCGGGACAGATTCCGACAATACTGTCGAGATCCACCCAGCTGCGTGAGTGACAGCTGGCTTTGCCTATCTAGAGGCAGATCCAGCTGTACCCACCCCTCCCTCCACTCAGCGCTGGAGGATTGGAGTGGGGAGGGTGGGAGTCCCTGCGGGGAGCGCTGACTGACAGTCACCGCTCACTGCAGTGAGATGATTGGGAAGTGAGCGGATCGGCTGCATGTTTCTGCTCACTTCCTGATCGATAGAGCCGACCTGTGACAGCTTCTTTGTCATAAGTCGGCTCTAAATATGAGGATGAGTGGAAATCACTCTCCTCATAGATCTCCATTAAATAAGCCAGTGGTGGGGGGTTTTTTTTACGGAGCGCATCCAAGAACGCATGGAGGATGTAGATAATAGGATCTTGTCATTCCCAGAGTGGGGAGGCCCAAGAAAAAGGAGAACAAAAAAGACAAACGTGAGGGCGCAAAGCTGAAGGGGCTATATAGCTAAGTTGGACCTTGTGAGAGGGAAAACGGAACGAGATAAAGCACTTACTTGAGTAGGTCTCAAGACCAGATGAGGACCGGTCTGTGGGGAGGATCGTGAAGTCCAAGATGTATATTGTATGGAAGCTGGTATGCTGCCTGGGGCTGCTCATCCCAAGGAGGGAAGCGACGGTGAGGAGAGGGGTGGGCGGGGGAGCGGGTAATGACACACAAGTTTTGTCCGTGTCCCCGCTGCATGATGGGAAGTACAGGGGGTGTGCAGAGTGGCGTCTGGCTGGGCTGCTGTGGCTGCAGCTACGGGTGGTGAGGCTCAATCTATATGTGGACTGAGACTTGACCTGTGCCCGGGCCGTGATAATGCTGTTGGATGAGAGTCGGCCGGGATAATGGCAGGGTGAAGAGTAGTCAGGTCAGTGTGGTAGTGGGTGGAGGATCGGGAGCAACGCGTTTCGAGGAACCATCAAGCTCAATGGGAATGGTATAACGGCTGCGGGAATCCGCCGGTTTAAATGTGACAGCTGGGCGGACGGAGTTTAGAGGCAGTGGGCGGCAAAGCCGCGATTTGAAGCTGTTCAGTCTTGGTATATGTTTGCGGGTTCCGTATGTGCCTTGAAATGGACTGGAGGGGTTAAGTAATTTAAGAGACTATGAATAAGAAATTTAGGGAAACGAAAAACAATTAATTTATTGTTGTAGAAACGGAGCGTGGGCATCAAAATTCCCAAAAGCCAATTCTGCAGATTAAAACGGAATTGTTCCAAATTAACAGACTTCAACACACAGAGCAAGCTGCTTGCTAACAAATTCAAAGAAAAAGCTTACCCCGACACACTCATCCACAATGCATACTCAACTTATATACACCCACCCACACTAGACACAAACGAACGTCCGGAGTTTGAAGCACAAACAAGATTCATCACTACATTTAACAACAACCATAACAAAATACAAAGCATCATTCGCAAGAACTGGTTTTGTGAGTGTGCCATGATGCCTTTCTGCTGTTTTACTATTCAAAGCCCATTTCGTGTGCACCTTACTGTACAACTGGTAACA